CATCTGGGAAGTGTCGAGGTCCCGTGGTGAACCCGAGGCTTCCTGCAGAAGATGTGCAGTAAAAAACTAGTACCTCAGAGGTACTAGTTTCCTGAAACCATGGGGCAAGGGCGGGAGTCTGATCATGTTTCCGGTGGTAGTCCCCTCGGAAAAAGGATTTTTTAAAAAAAGTTTCCACGGATGCGCACAAGCACCCAAGGGAGCATGCGCACATTTGAGGTTTTTTTTTTAAAAAAACATCCCGTTTGCCCCGCGCCCCACTTCTTTACCACGCGGCAGGGCTGTGGAGTGATCGGCACCTCCCCCCTACCACGGGACCTCCACGGGACCTTGATCGGTAGGTCTGCTCGAGCAACCACCGTTTTTTAGCTAACAGCCACGTTCCCCCCCCCCCCCGCAATTTCCTCCCCGCGGGACACCCGTCCCCCCCCCCCCCGCAATTTCCTGCCCGTGTGACCGGGACCTGTGACTAGCTTTCCACTGCTTAAAGGAATCCTTTTTACCTTTTACAGCTTCCATTACTTTGTTTGTTAACCATGCAGGCTTTTTTCTATACCTATTTGTGCCTTCCCTAACCTGAGGAATATATTTTTTCTGAGCTTCTAGGATTATAGTTTTAAATAGTTTCCAAGCTTCCCCAATGGTTTGACCCTTTCTACTTTTTCTTTCAGTTTCCTCCCCACATGTCCCCTCATATCAGAGAAGTTACCCCTTTTAAAGTTAAAAGTGGTTGTGTCAGTCTTTTTGGCCAATTCCCTATTTATACAAATGTTGAACTCAATAACATTATGATTGCTGTTCCCAAGCGGTGCAATCACTTTTACATCTCTCACCAGGTCTTGAACGTTAGTTAGGACCAAATCAAGGATTGCCTTTCCCCTGGTAGGTTCCATGACCATCTGCTCCATAGCACAGTCATTGAGAGTGTCTAGACATTCATCATTAGTGTGATGGACCTGATGAATTTTACTATGAGATATGATTATCTATTTCTTAGGGGTGTTCCCTTGAAACATCTTTATGACATGAACTAAATTAGCAGTATAATAACACCCCTTAAGATTGGGGAGACCCATGCTTCCATCAGATGAAGCCCTACAGAAGGCCTTAAAGTGGACTCTGGGTTAGACCACAGAAAGTTGGTGAGGGCCTTTTGCCATTCCTTCAGTGTCAGAACAGTGAGGCTTACTGGAAGAGTCTGAAATAAAAATGTAAACTTTGGTTGCAGAAAGTTTTAAACCAATGGAGCCTGTCTGACCATGATTGTCATAATTTGTTCCACCCTGTAATCTGTGTGCAGATTCCCTTGTATATTTTGTCAAAATTATATTGAATCAGCAATTTAAAATCTAATGGTATAAAACCCCCTAGATGATGCCATACTTTATCTCCCCAGAAAATTTTTAAAACAGATATTAAATTGGAGACTGTAGATTGTTTCAAGTTAAGAGGGAATAACTCTGATGCTCTGTTTTATTGCTAATCCCAAAATTTGTCAGAAAGCCTGAAGGTCAGAGTGCAAGGTTTGTAGGAAGTCCTCTAGTTTTGTGAGATATAGGACCAAATCATCAGCATAGAGGGAGATTTTATGTTCTGTATGACCAATCTCTACCCCGGTGATGTTTGAATCCTGTCTAATTCTGCCAGTGCTTCCATCTTTAAAGCAAAAATAAGCTGGGATAAAGGGCATCCCTGCCTGGTGCCACTATTGGTAGAAAAGGGGTCCAAAGCGAGGCCATCGGCTCTGACCAAAGCCCTTGAAGAGGAGTATAGAGTCTTAATTGTCATCCTGAAAGCCTCTCCAAAACCTGTTTTGGAAAGCAGGGAGATTTAGGTATTCTTTTTAAAGAGCATTTGCATATCTGGGCATCTTTCCCTTTCATTAAAGGTAAAGGTTCCCTTGCTCGAAAGCCAGTCGAATCCGACTCTAGGGTTGCGGTGCTTATCTCCGTTTCAAAGCCGAAGAGCCAGCGCTGTCCGAAGATATTTCCGTGGTCACGTGGCCGGCATGACTAAACACCAAGGCGCACGGAACGCTGTTACCTTCCCACCGAAGTGGTACCTATTTATCTACTTGCAATTTCTTGCTTTCGAACTGCTAGGTTGGCAGGAGCTGGAACTAGAGACAGGAGCTCACCCTGTCTTGCGGCACACTCGGGTCTCGAACTGCTGAACTACTGACCTTCCACAGCCTGCAGTTCAGCATCTTAACCACTTGAGCCACCGCAGCTCCTCCCTTTCATTAGTAACCACCAAATTGAGGAGGAATGCATTCAGCATTAAGGAACTTAGGCATCCATCCCACGAACACTCTTCTGGAAGTAAGCACAACTGAGTAAAATGGTACTTGCTTTTTGGTAGACCTTTTTTTGGATTGCCCCAAGAGTCTATATACACATGTCCATATTGAATTACACTCATTATATTCAGTACTGGAATCTCTTACCTTTTTCATTTGAAATCTTCCCTGCTGGACATGCAAGGCAATCATAGCAGCAAAAAGGCTGCCCTTCCTTCTTTGCCCTGCTAAAACCAGCACGACAGTCCTCATTGCAAACAGAAAGAGGTTGCACCTAGCCAAAATAGAAGACAAATGAATTTGGCATGGCATGATGGCATGACCTCTAGAGAAGATTTGGAGTGAAATGGATGGTTGAAAGTTCTATAGTACTTTCAGTCGTTTAGCAATGTGATGGGATGGGTGCAGTCCTTCAAGGTCTTTCTCTTTCCACAGTGAAAGGACATCATAATCTGGTATGTTTCTAGCAACGGGTTTGAAGGACAGTTAAGGGACCTTTCTGGTCTATAGTCTTCCTAGCTCAGACATATGCCCTCTGGGTAAGGTGGTTAATGTGAAATGAATTTTGTAAAGGATACTGCCAGTGTCATTGTGTGGGGGGACTTCAGTATGAATCTGCTTTGTCTGTCTATGCTCAGGAATTCTTGTCCTCCACAGCATCGAGAGGACTGTCCCAGTTTGTACTAAGACCCACTAATATAAAGGGACATTTGTCACATTCACTCCTCTGCACTGGGCAACAGACTGATGATCTGGTGGGAAGCCGTTAACTTTAACTTCCCATGTGAATAGGTCATACTCTACTTGTAATCTAATTCTACCTTCCTACATTGGTGCTCAACCCCTTAAGATGGTTTGCCCCATAAGCCTTGTGGGTCATTTGTATTTCTAAAATTCTATATAGGTGGTGGTGGGGTTGCATAGTTTCAGTCTCCATTGTGTTGATTGGAACTGGCTATAGAATGATTTTAATTAGTTGCAATTATTTTAATATGGTTATTCATGATTTCTGTATATTTTATTTTGTTAAGGTGCAATGAATACTTAGAAAAGTGGGACAAAACTGAGTTGTTTAAATAAAAAAATTACACTATCTTGGCCGATTATGTTTGTCATCTCAAGGCTTTGTCCAGTGTTCTAGATTGTGGAAGCATTCAGGGAGACGATACCATCATATGCTGTCTTGTGATGAAATCTGTTTCGTGTTGGTTGGTCAAGCTGTGCTAATTCATCAGGATACTGCTACATTTGATAATGTTTTTCTATGTTCCTTCTATATACCTGAATCCCTTTCCAACTGAAGGCACAGAAAGGATCTTGATGACAGAACAAAATTTTGCATGGCAAAATTTTTAGAGGCAATAATTAAGTATTCTTTTTCCCCAAAAAACTTTTGTCTAACAAAATTTAAGGAGAAAATGATTGCTCAAATGATACTCCCCTAATGAACAGAACAAACAGAGAGAACAAATTTGTTCTGTGACCATTTTACTTCTATTTTAGTACTGTAGAAAACCACTTGACATATCCTAGACCATACATACATCATACCTGGTTGAACACGGTTGGCCATTCAATGGCTTTCTCATGAATGAGGAGCATTTTGTCTGGGGGAGCCTTTGAGTCTGTCTTGCCCACTTTGACTCTATGAAAGGACTGGTTTGGGAATGTGACCCAATTGATAATATCAAGTTCCGTGAGAAATTCACCATTTTGGTTAAAGGAAATCCTTTCCCCAGCAGTGTTGTTGAAAGAAAAACTTCTCAGAAAGTGGTGGAGCTAAATGGAGAGGGGGAGGGAAAGTAAATTTGGATCATAAGGATGACTAACATATGGAAATTTGTAACAGGATGACACATTCGCAGAAAGAAGAACTTGTGTTAATGTTCCCCATGAAGCTACTCCCAGCCTCATACCTGGAGCCTTACAAAATTTATTTGCCCCCCAAGCCGGAATAACGAGGCAGACACCAGTGTTGGGTATAACTTTGGGCCACTTTATTAATTAACAACTTCAACTGAAACCAACGGCAAGGGCAATAACTTTTTGCGGTATGGATAAGGCGAGAGGTCCAAGACCCCTCCCTTACCTCATGGCATAAGGGCGAGCCACCCTGCCCCAAGCGGGAGCCAGCAGCCGTGGCTCCCGCCCGGCCGGCTAGCCATTGCAGGGACCACCCCCGCAGACCCACCCCCCGAGCCGCTAGACTCAAAGAGATGAATCAATCGGGGCGTTCCCGAAGGCAGTCTGTTTTCCCCGCCCCGTGCCGCAGGGCACAAAGACTGTACTCACAGACTCCTTCATCCCCAAATAATGGGTATCGGCTGGTGCTCACTGTACCGCAAACTGAATTCCTCCTAAAACCCTGCCTATCCAAAGTGACCGTCCTAACATCACAGCCCACCCTTAAACACCTGCGCCATTGCTGCAGTGCAAGGTAGGCGAAAAACACCCCTTCCACAGGCCAATCAGGAAGAGGTGAAAAAATTCCTACCTGGCCCCGAAATCGGGCGACCAGCCACAGCCTACACTGTCAACAGGGCGGGAGGGTGGGCCGACGTCTCCGCGGGAACTGCCTGGAGGGGGGAGGGGCCGTGCCTTATCAGCTCGGCCCCCGCCCCTTTCAAATGCCCGGATTTAGGCATTTGCCGCCAATTTGCCTGCCTCTTCCAGCAGGGCGGCAAAGGCGCCTCCCCCATCCCAACGGCCGCAAGGGCCGCGGGCTGGGGGATTCAAATACATTAAAATACAGAATTCAGAACAAATATAAACCAGAAAATCGGGCTTTATGTTTGACAGCCCTGCTCTAGAGGCTCCTCTGGATGTCCTGAACCAGTACCTCTTTGCTTTAAGTGCCTGAGGGTGACCAAGATGAAATGGAATCCCCAACAAGAAGAGGATGAAGCTCTCTGGGGATGAGTCTGCAGTTAGATATGCAGCAGTTTCTAGGCAGGATTGAACCCAGCAGTATGGCAGCCTTCGCAGTGAGGATCATGGAGACCAAAGAAATAATTAGGCTAATTAAATTGCCTGGTAAGAAACTGGATATTAACAGCACATCTGTCAGTGCCCACAGGGTAGGCCTGTTGTCTTATTTAGCTATTGCCCTCCCCATCCGACTGCGGAAGCATTTTGATCAATTGACACTACCAAAGTTCAGAAGAGGCTTCACTTTGGCCAGAATGAATTCTTGGGGTGCAAATATTAAAATGTGCCATATACAAATAGAATATGTAGATGCTGATACGATAAAGTTGAAACTATTGAACACATGATCATGGAGTATCGTATAGTTAAGGAGTTGAGGTCCAGTTTAATTACTTCTTTACTCATAAAGATGGAAAGGTGTGAGGAGGCACCTGAGAGTACGAGGGCACAGGTGTCATGGTGATCATCAGATACAAATGATTCTATTATTCTGTGGCAAAAAAAAATTAGGGGCAATAATTAAAAAGGCAGAAGAAGAATATCAAGTAATAGCTGTATGAGCAGAGAGAGAAAGAGAGAGATGATGTCTGGCTGGCTGCCTGGAAGACAGACAGACAGACAGACAGACAGACAGACAGACAGACAGACAGATGATAGAGTCAGCCAGTTTTGGATGGGAGGAAATTATATCCGAGACAGTAAGTAAAGACACTGAGGAATGCTCTTGGACTCATCCTTGCTAACAGAGAAGAAGGTTGGCATGGAAACTGCGACCAGGTTTTAACTCACAAGTTATCTCCCTAGGTTACTCTCCTGAATTAACTATGCTCATTTATGCCAGTGTAATCTTGGGATTGGTTTACTGACGTGGAATTCAAATGGGATTTCCCTTAGAATGACTAGGAAGCTTCAACTAGTGCTTAACACAGCAACACACTGCTCCCGTCACTTCCTTTTCCGCATGCCCTCCACAGAGTTTTTCTCAACCCATTATAGGGAATTTAAGTCACTATGCAAATTATATGGTAGGAAGTTCAAAAGGCATGTTCACTTCCAGGGACCTTTTAAGAGTGTTTCAGATAGCTCTTCTTTGAGGTTGTTGGAAATATAAAGCCAGAAACTGACCCTATGTCTGCATTATTTGGTTGAGAGGGATTATTGTTATTATGAAACTGACCGTTTGACTGCATTAGGATATTTTATAGGGATTGAAAATATCAGGATTCATATTGTGCTAGATTGTCCCTGTGATGATTTGTATGTGAGCCATATTAGGTTTCTAGAGAAAAGCAGGTACACATATTTTAATTAATAAACACATTTAACAAATCAGTGAGTATGATGATGATGTCACCTGCCACCACTCTTGATCCAGAAGATTCCATCGCCCACGAGGTACGATTGTTCTATATTTGAATCTGGAGGACCACATGGCCTGCAAAGCATGGACCACAGCATAGACACCGTTATAGATGTTGTAGCTGAGGGTAGTTGTGGCTGTTTCAAAAACAGATCCAGGAAGATCCTTCAGTTTCTCCTCTCCAGTACAAATTTCCCCACCCTCCTTGTCTACCGTGTGGTTGGAGAATGAACACAGAAATGCCTGTTGCCAGAATTGTCTGATAAAGCCATCCTCTTTTGCAGAGGTGAGATTTTTCTCCTGGAGAAATTTCTGGAATCCTGAGAGCTCCACTGAGTGAACTGCAAAGGAGATGGCACCATGGACAAAATCGATGTCCCAGTCTCTTTGAAAAGGTAGTGAGGTGAAGTCCATCTGAGCTGTCAAAATCCAGATTTTACCTTTTCCCTCAACTGGTATATCCTCAAGTTCCGGGAGTCGGAGGAACAGTCTTAAAACTATCATGGTCTGAATTTCACCATGTAGGACCAAAACTTTGGCAGTGCTTCCCATGACAAGTTTGTATGTTTCAACTGCTTCAGCCAGTCCTTCAGCAATTTCACTGGAAAATATTGGTGGTGGAATTGTTGCTACGAAGTCAAGGCAGATTCCATTCTGAGATAGCATAGGAACTATGTCCTGTACAAATCTTTCTCCAGTCTCATCATTCAGAGAAATCACCCCAATCCATGTCCATCTGAAATACAGCAATAAACGAAGAATCCCCAAATATTGATGGGCCTGGTTTGGGAACATATGGTGGAAGAAAACAGACTGTGTTTTGTTGTCCATCTTTGGTGCAGAACCATAAGATATCTAAACAAAGAAGAATAAAGAAAGACATTTCAAAATTAAAATTAGGGTCAGTTTAGTTTCTAAAACATATTACTGAACGTGAAGCTTAGCTTGTCAGCTAAAGTGACTGTTAGCAAGATGAGGTACACAGAGGCTCTACAGTCTTATACCATTGCTACACACAAAAATGCCATAAATTATGCATCATTTTGTTTCATACATTCCAAGACATATAATGAAAAGTACCTACCTACCTTTACAGTATTGCCCATTTTGGTCTTCAAACCACATCTAAAATACAAGAAATTTCATTCTCCCTTCATACACTGTACCTGTGGAATCTTGTAGGTGCAGAGAATAACTGCTGTGAAGAGACAGATGTCAGAGTTTGGTCCTGTGATGACTGCAACTGGATTGTTCTGGGCATCACACTTGTAGTTAGGAATGAATCTGCCTTGTGTGGAGAGAAGTTCCATTGAGGCATGATAGGTCCAAATTGGATTGAAATGGCTGTTGTAGATGTCAAAGCCCAGAGTGATGTTGGATAAGATCTGGGAGTTTTCATTGATTTCCTTTACAGCAAAGTCCAAGGCTAGGATCTGCTGGTAGTTCTGAGTCAGGAACCTGCAATAAAAGTGGAGAACTTTAAGCTGAAAGGGAAGGTTTCTTCTGTCTGATTCCAGCCCAGCATAATTGCTACCAAATAGCTACCCTTAACCAAGACACCAGAGAGATTACACATATAGAACATGAAGAGTTATATATGAGAAAATATGCCATGTAAAATATCTCAGTGCTCTGAAAAGATCAAGAATATCCTTTCCCCCAGGAACAAAAGCATAAATATTCTGTAAACAATAAATACATATCTTGTCCAGGGATTTAAAAAAAAAAAACACATAAGAAAGACATGCATACATGTTTAAAGCAATCAGGTTTTTTTTTAACTTCATATCTGCTCCTTTCTAGTAAAATGGAATACTGAATGTTTCCTGGCACAATAAAGTATGATAGAGGAGACATCATTTCACTGAATTAATCTTGAAAAGCAGCTGATATAATTCTAATTCTGGAAACTATGAAAGGAGAAGTGAACACATAGCAACAGCACCTAGCCTTGGAAATCAAGAATGTAGAGACAGGACAAAACACAGGCCCAACCATTCTCCACCCCTCTAAATCTCAGTAAAACCTATTTTTCATGATTTGGTGGAGCGGAAAATAACAGTTTCTTACAAAAGGTGATCGAACTGTTCCTCAGATGGACAATTTCCAAATGTTATTGGGTGGGAAAACATGTAGATCTGGGACATAATGCCAGCTATGATGAGGTCCCCCGATTTATAATATTTGTGAAGGATAGGGAGAGGACTTCTGATGGGGCACAGAGGAGCCTTACACAGTGCCAAAGGGATTAACCCTAATGCCAGCACCACAAACACCACCATCCTGGGTGAACCTTTGGCCATCAATTTGGCTATTCCGATAATATTTTCAAGTCTTTCTGAGTATCCCAACTTGAATGATCATGCAGCTGTCACCTCGTCTTTCACTGAGCTCAGATTGATGCAGCCTTCTCTGTCCTCACCCCCTGCCCTGAATGATTCAGGGAATATTAATAGCCTCCTTCAGTCTTGGATACCAGTTTTGCTAGGGGCTGTTGGTTTTCTCTAGGAACATGAAATAGACGTAGAAGTAATAGTGGTAATTTTGTTAATTGCAGGGGTGATCATAATCTACACAGATATATTATGGGGGCGGCATTCTGATGTCATGTCCCTCATATGGATTTTTAAAATTATTATTATTATTATTCGTACAAGGAAGCAGCCACTTGTCCTGATGAACTGATGGGCACTATCATGATCACCTTCTCTAATCTGGACTATATGGTCCCTTTAGTGTTGCCAGTCCCCTGTTACAGGCAGCGGATCCCCATGCTCTAACTGGCAGTGAGAGTAAAATAAAACTGTGGACGCAAACTTACCTAAAGGCTGTTTTCGGGCTTCAGGGCTTGTCAGTAGGAAGGCAAAGGTCCGTGTATTCCTTCCAATGGCATTTCCTGGGGCTGTGGGGCACGGCTTGGGTGCCTTCCATGCTGCTGGCTAATGGCTGACAACCAGGAGCTTGTGTCTGGTGGGTTGGGCTTGGGAGAGGGCGGACCTGAGAAGCACAGTCTGCTCTTCCCCTATTTAAAGACCTGGCACGAGTTCATTCTTGCAGTTCTTCAAGAACAGCCTTTCTTCACTCTCTTGTGTTTAAGATTGTATTGTGGTTGTTCTTAATCTGTTCATTAAGTCACAACTTCCAGTGGTTTAGGCATTGGGCTGCATCCATTTAAGTGTGGAGAGGATGTTCCTGCATGCCTCCCTCCCTGGATTGGGGACTTCCTTAAGGGGTCTTGGGAGTCAAGCCCTTGCTACGCTGGTCCCAGCTTGGGAGCAGTCACAGGGCTCCCCACCCAGGCGGCAAGTGTTCCATACAGAGGCTTGTTTCCCTGCCAGTTTGGTGTAGTGGTTAAGTGCACAGGCTCTAATCTGGGAGGACCAGGTTTGATTTCCCCACGCCTCCACTTCCAGCTGCTGGATGACCATGGACAAGCC